AAAATGGCCAGCCTGTACATGGTAGAGATGCAAACAAGATAAGGAGTCTGAGAGGACAATATAGCTATCGGGTCCTAAAATAATAGCTTTCATGGAAAAATAAAATGTCTTTAGCAGGTACTGATCCGAGTTAATTTCTTGTATATGGCATAAGTGAACAAACCTTGGGAACCCTGATAATTTCACATGGGACCACCATTTTTTGCAAGCTTCTTGGGCTCCTTCATAGTTCATCCAATCTTCAGTCCCATATATAAATGTCGTCGGCACTTTCCATTCAAATGCACTATTCACAGAAGAAAAAAAACTCAATATCGTCTTCTGAGAATCTGAAATCATTTCTTGCAAGTACAATGCATAACTGCTGGCTAGGGATTCATATGGTACGGCTCTTAGATCAGTCAGCTTAAAAATCTTGAATGTGTGCTATATTTTGATTAGATGTTATGCACTTTTGCATAAACCTCTTATATCAATCAAGTCAAAATCTTCTAAGTTCCCCTAATCCACTTTTTGTTCCCCTAATCCACTTCTTGTTGGCCCTTGAGACTGTAGTGAAGCTTTATGATCATTACAAGGGCATGACTCTTTCTTCTCTCATACGGAAACAATGTTTTCAAATCAGATACATACTTGCATTCTAATGAATGTTTTCAATTCAAATGTGAGATATTGTACAAATAAGATTCCCAGAAGTCTAAACAGAATCTTGATGAATATAAATTTGCAGGTATTAGCCACGGCAATGAACCCAATCAATAAGTAAATAAACACTTCCACAGCACCAATAGCAATTCAGAAGGGTAACAGAACCTGTTTAAAAGGGGCTTCCGAGTCATTGCTCCAAAAGAAAATATATATTTTAAGCACAGCTCTCCACTTGCTTTGGCAGCTGAAGTATGATATGCATAATCTTCAACCATTAAGAAGGCAAAAACAGCTGTTAGATTAGATATCTATTATTTCCATATACATATGCTACATACTGAACCTAAAAATCGCATCATACCTGTTAGAAGTCTATTCTGCTCCTCCGTCAGTACAATCTCAGGTGAATATCTAGGGCGAAACCTACCAGTCGTATACTTGCGTACAAGATTCGAACCCCAAGGACCTAAACCTCTGCACACAGAATCATCCAGAAAACGCAAAGCCATTAATTGAACTATTTGATTCCAGATGCAATCCATGACAAGCAAATGAATAAAATAAATAAAAAATGAAATAAATCAAATCAAAGTAACAGGAATTTGACATCAATATAGAAAAAGGAGACGCAAATATTATTCCAACAACAGTTTAAGTAACCAACATAAGAGGTGTATTGGAGAAATAACCTAAATACGAGTCCATGAAGAGCAAACATATTAGTTCACTACAACAATGGATTACCAAGGATCAAGTTGGAACCCCTTTTGTCCGTATCCCTAATAATAACAATCTTATTAAATGCATTTAGAACACAGCTCTGTAATGATATAGTTTTGGCAGATCACTCCAGAGTAATGGTTAATGTTAGAATCAGCTGTGTAGAAGTCTTGTTTGTTTTGAAGTCTTTTATTTAAACTACCGTAATCTCCTAAATTCAATGATATTTATCTTCCATCATCTCTTTTATTCTTTCTCTCTTCTTTGGTTTATTTCCTTAGATTATAACAGTTAATACATGAGCTTGATCTCTGGTTGTGGGCGTAGAAAACAGTATAACATAATTACAAACCTTACAAGTTTCTGAGGAGTAAAATTATATTCCCACAAATGATACATGATTGACCCTTTCCATGTTTCTCTGAAGCGGGATAACCACTTAAATCTGATATCTGATTCTGATGAAAATCCAGCAGGTCCCACTAAAATTAAGTGTTGAACATGTACAGGATGCTACAGAACAAATGTAAGGGGGCATCAGAAGTTCAGAACAAAAAATAAACGTACTCACAAACTACTTAGTGCGTCGAAACATTAAACTTATAAAAGCAATCACCTTGAGAGCATACTTAGAAGCAATATATCCTCCTAAAGAATGTCCAAGTAATATAAAGTTACTGAGATTTTTTGCTTTACGCCATTCCTCAAAAGAATCAACAAACCAATCCTCAGCCTCTGCATCATCAATACAAGAAAAGTTGAGAAACACATGCAATTGCTCTAGGAACTTATAGAAAATGAAAAGGTCCAAAGGAATTCATTGCATTCCACTTACAAACCTTCAGTGCTTTTGCATTTAAAGTCAGGCCTGCTTGATCCACCCCAACTGAAGAAAAAGGTGAAGAAAAAGTAAGAATCTATAATGACATAGTGAAATCAAGCTCAAAATGCAGAATGCATGCCTTTGGCACTTGAAATTAGAAACATCTGCTTCTTCAATAACATAAGCCTTTGGGCTTTGGCAATTGAAATAAGCAACAGCTGATTCTTTAATAACACTTGATAAGAATTCTGTTTCGTAAACCATAGATGAAACCGAAAACTGATGAATTGAAGTTCATAAGGGAGCTCACTGCTTACCCAAGCAGATCAATGGCAATGACCTGGAAATGATTGGCAAGATAATCGAAATTCTTAAAAAAGAAACCCTGAGAAGCAGCATATCCATGTATCATAACAAGTGTGGGGGAACCTTCTTTGCTACCAAAGGTAACTGTATTTATGAACCTCGGCTCATTGCTCGAATAACTAAACCACCTAACTTTAGAAACAGGCGCACCAGATCCTATATTCACTTTTTCTTGCACATACGGAGTCCTGAAATTTTCAATAATTCATCAACAATTATCGATTTCCTATCCAATTTCCCACCGTAACAAATAAAATAAAATAAAATTGATATACAAAAACATATTATAATCCAGTTTTCTAAAAATAGGTGATTGGAATATGGGAATTAAAGTAACGCGCAATACAATTCCCAGCTTTTTTCAAGCATAGACTTGGAGAACAAAAATAAATTGACAAGCAAACGGGATTGAGGTGTACGTACTTGACAAGAGAGAGAAGGCGTTTCTCGGCGGCGATGATGTGGTCGGTAGAAGTCGGGATCCAACGGGGAACGGACGGCCATGAGGATTTTTTTTTGGATACGGTGATTGATGCCGAGGATCGAAACGCGGGTTTGTTAATTTCTTCGGCCATTTATCTTGAAATGGAGCTGGATCAACGGTGGAGAAAGTGGTACAGCTATGGAATTCTTCTAACGATGGGGAACTCCACGCATTTTGCTTGGCTTTTATATTGGAGAGCTTTGACGTTGAGTCAATGAGAATCGAGATGTAGATGGCCATGGGGAATCTAATGAATTGATTATTCAAATGAAGGTGGCGCTGAATTTCCATAGTCGGTAGTTCTAAAATGAAAACGACTTGGTCAACAAAAACTATAACGCCTTTAACCACCAACAAAGCCAATTGTCGCATAAATTGAACAATAATAAAATTAATCAAACTCGGTGTTTTTTTAAGGGTAAACTATACCCGTGACCACCTAACTATAATCTATTTTTATTTTGACCATTATTTTTAATTTTATCAATTGGGTCACTCAACTATTTAAATGCATTCAATCAGACCACTTGTCGTTAACAGTTAACGGAAGTGTTGAAGTGATAGTTAGTAAAATGGGTATAATTACATATTTGATCACTCTTACTTATATATTTTATCAATTTGGTCTTAATTTTAATAAATTAAAATAAAATTAATCTTTCAGTCAGATGATATCATGTGTCACCATTCAATTTAATGATTAAATTTATTTTTTAGCAATCAGAGGATGACACATGTCACCTCAGGTGGAATGAAAATTAAAGCACCAAAGTGGGGGGTTTCGGAATCAAACCCAAGTCGCTCTAGATAGAAGGGGTAACTCAACAACTAGGCCAAGCTACTTGTTTAGTTCCAAGTAGACTACATATAATATATACCTTATATCTTAATGTAACTTTAGATTCTTACTATATATATATATATATCTTAACTTAAATTCACATCTTAATAAAAAATATATTTATTCTTATCTTAACTAAAGTAAAAAAATGTATATTTTAGTCTTAAATTCATATATGAGTTGATATTTTTTAGATATGAAATTAAGATATGAATTTTATTTTAATTTATTAAAATTAGGAATAAATTGATAGAATATATAAGTAAGAGTGATCAAATATGTAATTATACTCATTTTATTAACTGTCACGTTAGCACTTCTATTAACTGCTAAAGGCAAGTGGTCTGATTGAATGCATTTAAATAGTTAGGTGACCCGAATGACAAAAATTAAAAAATGGTTGAAAAGAAAATGGACTATAGCTATGTGGTCACCGGTATAGTTTGTCCTTTTTTATATAAATTTATGTGACAAGCATTAAGCATGCACACTTAAATTTAATTCAAAACGACGCAGAAACATACGTTTAGGTTGGTAGTGATTCTATTCATTCAATTATGATATCACTACTTAATAAAAAAAACTATGATATCACTAAAAAATTGGCTAAACCATTTGTTAGTCACCTAATTATTATTATGTTTGTATTTTGATCATAATTTTTTTTAATTCAATCACTAAGGTGGTATTCAAAGATGAATATAGGAGTGTCGGCATCAATCGTCCCTCTAGAAATTTTAAATTCTCAAATAATTTAAGTATTTTTTATATTTTATATTAATGATATAATTTTGCATCTCTTGGAATTTTATAATTTCGTAGCCTTCCATTTAAATATAACTTTTTAAAGATTTATACTTATTGACACAAAATTATGTAATCATCCACAATGATATTTTCATCTTTGAACATTCCTTAAAAGTTGCATTTAGAGTCCATATATGAATAAATTTAAGCATGATGGAGACTCAAAGTCTAGTAACTCAACATTTGTCAGATCAACCAAAAGTTTATTGGCCAATTTTTATAAATTAATAAATTATAATATATGATAGGATGAAAAAAATTATTTCTTACGTCCTCTTAGTAAAATGTATATTCCCGTTAACAAATAAGAAGGTTTAAGATAGAAAATGAAATTTATAGAGACAAAGAATCGTACAAAATAATGGAACCTTGTAATTATGTATTATACAACAAGTTTGTGAAGAATCTACAGCATATTTTGCTTCTAAGCTGATTCCAAGCCTTGAGGTAAGGGTTGAGTATCAGGGTGAGGTGAAAGAAATCGCCTACAAGCATACATGGCTGAATGGAATCCATCTGGATTTTCAAGGAACACGAAATGTCCAGCCTGCATATGACAAAAAATGCAAACAAAATGAGGAGTCCGAGACGACAATATAGCATTCGGGTTCTAAAATAATATAGCTTTCATGTCTTTGGCTGGTAATCATGCCCAAGTTAATTTCTTATATATGGTACAAGTGAACAAACCTGAGGAACCCTGATAATTTCACATGGGACCTTCATCTTTTTGCGAGCTTCTTGGGCTCCTTTATAGTCCATCCAATCTTCACTCCCAAATACAAATGTCGTCGGAACTTTCCACTCGGATGCACTATTCAAAGAAAAAGAAGAAGAAACTCAATACCGTCTTCTGAAAACCTGAAATCATCTCTTGTCATACTGATCTACACACTACCTAATGCTTTACATGGCTGGTCGGGTTAAAATCTTGAATTTGTGTTCTAGCTTTTATTAGATGTTATTCACTCATGCATAAACCCCTTATATCAGACAAAATCTTTAAGTTTCCATAATCCTCTGCTTGAAGTGAAGACATGCACTAGCATTATCCTCTCCTCGTATGACACTTCAGATCAGAGTGAAACTTCATTATCATTACAAGGGTATTACTCTTTTTTTCTTTTTTTTATCATCCTATGAGCAGAATGCTTTCATGGAGGATACATAACTGCATTCTAGAGAATGTTTTCAAGTCAAATGTGGGATATTTTGCAAATAAGATTCCCGAATATCAAAACGGAATCTTGATTTATATATAAAAACATAGGTGTTAGCCAATGCAACGAACCCAATAAATAAGTAAATAAACGCTTTTACAGGGAAACCAAACCTGTTTAAAAGGGGCTTCCGAGCAAATGCTCCAAAAGCAAATATATATTTTAAGCACAGCTCTCCACTTGCTTTGGCAGCTGAAGTATGGTACATATAATCTACAGACATGAAGAAGAGGGGAAAATAGCTGTTAGTTTTCTATTATTGCATACACGAGCAATGCACACAAAAGTTATAAATCTTATCATACCTGTTAGAAGTCTATTCTGCTCCTCTGTCAGTACACCCTCAGCTGAATATTTAGGACTAAACCTAGCGGCCGTATACTTGCGTACAAGATTTGGACCACAAGGACCTAAACCTCTGAATATAGAATCATCAAGAAAACGCAAAGCAATTACTTACACCATTTGATACTGGATGCAATCCATGACAAGAAAACAAATGAAAAAAATCAAATCGGAGCAAGAGGTCTTTAACAGCAATATAAACAAACAAGACCTATAATTTTTTTCCAACAGTTTACGGCATAAGTAACCAACATAAGAAGTAAATTGGAGAATAACCTAAATAAGAGCCCATGAAGAGCTGACAGATAAGTTTTCTAAAGCAATGGATTACAAAGGATCAAGTCGGAACCCCTTTTGCCCTAATAATGAATAAGCTTACTCGATGCATTACGTTGATAGCTCAATAATGATATAGTTTTTTCAGATCAACCCAGAGCAATTGTTAATACATGAGCTTGATTTCTGGTTGCTGGATTACAAACCTTATGAGTTTTTGAGGAGTAAAGTTAGACTCCCACAAATGATTCAAAATTGCCCCTTTCCATGTTGCTCTGAACTGGGTTACCAACTCGGATTTGCTATCAGATTCTGCTGTTGAAAATCCAGCAGGGCCAACTAAAATTAAGTGTTGAACATGTTCGGGATGCTACAGAACAAATGTAAGGGGCATTAGAACAAAAAATGTACTATCAAACTAATTGTTGCATTGGAACATTTAAAATGTAAAAGCAATAACCTTAAGAGCATATTTAGAAGCAACATATCCTCCAAAAGAATGTCCGAGTAATATAAGGTTACTGAGATTTTTTGCTTTACGCCATTCCTCAAAGGAATCAACAAACCATGCCTCAGTCTCTGCATCATCAATACAAGAAAATGTGAGAAATGCATGCAAATGCTTTAGGAACTTCTAGAAAATGAATAGGTTCGAAAGGATTCTTAGCATTCCTCTCACTAACCTTCAGTACTTTTGCATGTAAAGTCAGGCCTGCTAGATCCGCCCCAACTGGAGAGAAAGGTGAAGAAAGAGTAAGAAACCAATGGACCAGAAATATCAAGCTCAAAAGACAGAATGTGTGCCTTTAGAAATTGAAATAAGCACCATCTGCTTCTTAATAACACATCATAAGAATTTCGTTTCATGAACTACAAATGAACCCAGAAACCGATTGGATTGAAGTTATCACAACTGCAATTTAGCTTTGGTGATGCCAAGAGCATAATCTTTAAAGACAAAAGGAGCTCACTGCTTACCCAAGCTGATCGATGGCAACGACCCGGAAATTATTGGCGAGATAATCGAAATTTTTAAAAAAGAAACCCTGAGAAGCAGCATATCCGTGTATCAAAACAAGAGTGGGGGAACTTTCCTTGCTATCAAAGGTGACTGTATTGATGAACCTTGGCTCATTGCTCGAAGAACGAAACCATCTAACTTTAGAACCAGGGGGACCTGAACCTATATTGACTTGTTCTTGCACATATGGAGTCCTGAAAATTTCAACAACCCACCCATAATTATCAAATTCCTATACAAGTTTTTGCCAAAATTTATGAAATAACAATGACATACCCAGTTACCCACTGATAATCCAAATTAAAAAGAACAAAAGAATTATATGAAATACTATGAGAATTCAATTAACGTGCAATTGAAGTTTCCATCTTTTTAAAGCGTAAGCTTAGGGAATCCAAAGTAAATTGATAAGCAAACGGAATTGAAGGTTTACATACTTGACGAGGGAGAGAAGGCGTTTCTCGGCGGCGATGATGTGATCGGTAGATGTCGGAATCCAACGGAGAACGGACGGCCATGAGGATTTTCGTTTGACTACGGTGGTTGATGCGGAGGATTGAAATTCGGGTTGGTTAGTTTCTTCCACCATTTTCATCGAAATCAAGCAGTAAGAACAATGGAGAGAGCGGTTCGTACAATGTATGGGTTGTTTCTTTGTTTGAGGATGGGAAAGCGCAAGCATTTTTCTTCGTTTTTATATGCAAAAGATTTGATTTTGAGTCCACGTCTAGAAGGTGAATATTATAAGAGATTAGGAAAGAAGAAGAAGAAGGTGGTGACGAATCAAAACGCGTTTGCTGAAGCACTCCATGATCACGGCTGGGGATTGCGATCCGCGCCTGTCCGACGTGGCGCTAGCTACGCGGATGACGAACTACTTCTTGTCAGAAAAGTGTTAGATCGGTAAAATTTAAGGAAAAGGTATGTGATATTGTTGTTGAATTTAACACTAAAAATAAATTAAAAAGGAGGCGAGAATGTATATATGTTTACTTCGGGGATTACGTAGGAGGCATAGTATTCGTATATCTGATTGACTATAATTAAGATTATTAAACTTTTGGGTTTGCCTGTCTTTCCTCCTCCTAGAATTATCAACTCCACGAATTTCTTTTTCCTAATTGAGGATGGGCATGAAATCTGAATATGTCCTATATAGTTTAATCATATTTTTATAAAATTATTATTTTAAAAAGTAAAATTTTGATTGATTTGATCTTAAGTTTAATGTAAAAAAAATTTATTCGATTTAAAAATAATGCAATTATCTTTAATATATTTACAAATAATTGAGTTAATATTTTTCTAGTATATTTTCTATTAGATTTATAAGTTATCTAATAAAAATAAAATTATATATTCTTACAATTTGAGTCTCATATTGAATAAAAACCATTTTAATTTATGTTACCGAATGACATGTGAATGAATATAATATTATAATATTTAAATCGATCAAATATTTGACTTGATTCAACTCATACTTATCTCAATTTCAATAGAGATAAATGGTGTCATATAATGTAATCAAATTATTTATTTTAACAGCTTTAAATGCTAAATATGAATCCGATTCATGGACATATGGGAATGAATGTTAATTGATTTTTCTACGAATTTATGACTATACGTATCTTAAATTTATCGTAGTTTACCTCCTTGATGGAGTAATATGAATAGGATCAACATTCAGCCTTGAGCGATAAAGCCAAGAGCAAAAAAATAGGTGTTCCCAATCAGAAAACAATGGCAGCCCCAATTTTTGTCTTCTCACTCCTAATCATTGCATCACAACCATGTCAGCGTATCCTCGCTTCCGCCGCCGCCGCCGGAGGTCAATGGCAACTACTACAGAAAAGCATTGGCATCTCAGCCATGCACGTGCAGCTCCTCAGGAATGATCGTGTAGTTATGTTTGATAGAACTGATTTCGGACTATCAAAACTGCCATTGCCTAATGGGAGATGCCGCCATGACCGGAGAGACCAAGTTGTCAAAGTGGATTGCACCGCTCATTCTGCCGAGTACGATGTTTTAGCCAACAAATCCAGAGCTCTCATGGTCCAAACCGACGTTTGGTGCTCTTCGGGGGCGGTAGTACCGGATGGTAACTTGATCCAAACCGGTGGATCCAACGACGGCGAACGAAAGGTCAGGGTTTTTAGCCCATGCAGTACATGCGATTGGCAAGAAATACCGAATGGATTGGCTGTCGAAAGATGGTATGCATCCAACCATGTCTTGCCTGATGGAAGACAGATTGTTGTGGGCGGTCGGAAACAGTTTAACTACGAGTTTGTTCCTAAAACCATTACCGCCAACACGTTCAATTTGCCTTTCTTGTCGGAAACCAATGACTTCCACGTTGAGAACAATCTCTACCCTTTTATTTTCCTCAACGTTGATGGAAACTTATTTATTTTCGCCAACAATCGAGCTATTTTGCTTGATTACATGAAAAACAAAGTTGTGAAGACGTATCCGACGATCCCCGGTGGCGATCCAAGAAACTATCCCAGCACCGGTTCGGCTGTTTTGCTTCCATTGAAGAATCTGAAATCTGCAGCCACTGAAGCTGAAGTTTTGGTTTGTGGAGGCGCTCCAAAAGGATCTTACATTCAAGCTTCACGTGGAGTTTTCATTGGAGCCTTGAACACTTGCGCAAGGATCAAAATAACCGACTCCAACCCACAGTGGGCAATGGAGACGATGCCTCTAGCTAGAGTTATGGGTTACATGATATTGCTCCCAAACGGCAACGTCTTGATCATCAATGGAGCAGGTTCAGGAACAGCCGCATGGGAGTTTGGTCGGAACTCGGTTTTGAATCCGGTTTTATACAAGCCTGATAGCAAAATGGGGACACGGTTCGAGACACAAAACCCAACAACGATTCCTCGGATGTACCATTCTACCGCTGCATTGCTTCGCGACGGCAGAGTTTTAGTCGGAGGAAGCAATCCTCACCATTATTATAACTTCACCGGTGTTCTTTTCCCCACTGAACTAAGCTTAGAAGCATTCTCTCCGGCATACTTAGACGCTAAATTCAACAGCATAAGACCGACAATCATTGCTCCAAAGTCAATGTCCGGAATCAAATACGGGCAAAAGTTAATTGTTCAAGTGAAGATTGCCGGCAAAGTAGCTCAAAACCAGGTGTCGGTAACCATGGTGGCGCCACCTTTTAACACACATTCATTCTCTATGAATCAAAGGTTGCTTGTACTCGGAAACGACAAGGTGACGGCTTTGGGAAAACAAATGTATAACATTGATGTCACGGCACCGGGTTCCGGTAATATCGCGGCCGCAGGGTTTTATCTTCTATTTGTGGTCCAACAAGAGATTCCCAGCGAAGGCATTTGGGTCAAATTGCAATAGAGAAAAAGGTCCAAATTTCGTATGTTCATAAGAATGTGATCCTCCAGTCTATATAAAGCTGACACTTTATATTGCAATAAAGAAAATATTTGTGAACGTATTTGTATTAATGATTAAATTTAATGTGATATATTAAGGGGGGAAAAGATGCATATACACATTGTTTTTAAGAAAAAAATATAAAAATATTAGATCATTCTTAAATTTTTGGAACCTGAAGTGATTAATATACGTTTGAAATGATTTTAAATCTTCAATTTAAAAGTGCATTGGCCTAACTCAGAGGCGTTTTAATGATTTTCCCCCAAGTAAAAAAAAGCAATGTGTAATTTATGGAATCTAAAAGTGGATCCTTTTCAGTCTAAAACATTATTGTTGCAGCTGATTTGTGTTGCTTTGTTGTTTCGATTCTTTTACTTACAGTGGGATTGATTATGGCTATAGAATTTAATTTAATTTGCACCAAGGGCAACCAACCGGAAATAGAATGGAGGGGGGTTTGTTGTTTAGCTCGTTCTGCTTGCAAGCTAGCCTTTTGTGGAGAAGGTGGATTAGTAATGCACTAATCCACTCTGATCACTAATTATATTCATGTTATGATCATTTAATGCAAAGGATAAGTTCCGAGTTAATACCTTCCTTGCATTTGCCTTTTTCTCTCATCGAGGGAAATTTCAAGCTGAGTGGAATCAGAAAGGTCGATAACGACAGAATTGAAGTTACCATTACAGTCGAGTATTTGATTAAGTTGAATGGAATTAAAAAAAAAATTAGTTGGTTAAGTTGGTGAGTATTTTAGAATTTCACTCAAATTGATTCTACGAAATTTGAATATATTTAAATCAAATTATTTTTTCTACTTTCTATTCAAATTTAATCGTAAATACTTATAATATTATGGTGTGAATTGGTTCAATTTAAGATTTTTTTTTTTTCTAATCTTATAAGATATACACGCATATTCTTTTTTAAATTGCAATGTCTTTTAATAAATTAAATGTCATGTAAAATTATAAAAATTTTATAATTATAATTTTATAGTGAAAGTATTTTTGTAAAAAAAAATATAATACAAAAATAAATAAAATATAAAATTAAAGATTTAATTTTAAAAAGAACTAAAAATAAGAATTAAAGTTACATAAATTTTACATGATAATTGAAGTTAATGTATAAGGGTCTTCCACCTGTGAAAACCTTCCTATGGTAGGGATGTAAAATAAGGTAATCGTTCAGGTTTCAGTCAGGTCCTATCAGATCAGGTCAAATCAGATATAGGTCAGTCAGATCCTGTCAGATCAGGTCAAATCATATATAGGTCGAGTCAAAGTCAAATCATTTTGAGTAATTTTAAGGTTGATTTTACCATCAAATTCATTTCGGGTTCGGATCGGGTTAATTTCAGTTCGGATTGATGCCAATTCATGTCAAAATGATTCAGGTACAAATTAGTTAAATTGCATGTTAATTCAGGTTCAGATGGAATTCATGTCAGATCTCGTTCAGATCGGGTCACATTATTGACAGATAAAATTCAGGTAGGATATTGCCAGGTACGAATTGACTTCAGGTCCGATCATTTTTGGGTTAATTATTTTTCTTCTTTCATGAACGACGAATTGTTATTTTTAATTATATATGATTTGGAGTAAATTACAAAAAAAAATATAAATAATTGTGAGTCAATTTTAATAAAAATATAAATTTAAGGACTAAATTGAACAAACAAGAAATTACATAAAAAAATTTAAATAAATTAAACAACACGAATATATGAGTCATCAAATCAAAATATAAATAAGTATGGGCCTATTTCATATGCAAATATAATTTTAATGACTAGATTAAAGTAAATTACAAAAATATAAATAAGTATGAGCCGATTTCATATACAAATATAATTTTAAAGATTAAATTGAACAAATATAAAATTATAAATTAAAATTTAAATAAATACTTATACCTATATATATAATTACACACACATATATATATATATATATATATATATATATATGTAAGTATCTGTGTATAGGTATGTATATAAATATATATTTATATCTATATCTATATCTATATATATATATATATATAATTATATATAAGTATATATGTATGTATGATGCATATAAGTATTTACATAAGTACATATATATATATCATTAAACATAAGTGACTAGAATAAAATATTCTAAAATTAATGTTCACATTTAATAATTGTGTACATTAAAGAAAGAAAGGAAAATTAAAAGTAATTAGAATGTATACAGTACTAAATTACATTGAATTGAAAATTTCAAGAAAAGATTTTTAATTAGACCATGATTAAAAGGAAATAAATTAAAAAAAATTAAAAAAAAAACAACTGATTCTTAGAGGACTACATTTTTAATTAACCCAAAAAATTTATTGGGAATTAAAAAAAAGCTCCAACACTTGTCAAAAAAAATCCCTCTTCCCTCTTCTAAATTCTCAAAAAAATCAGTTTTTCCATTTTTAAATTTTGGCAAAAAAATCCAATTTGTCAAAATTTGATAATTCCCTCTTCTAAATTTTAAACAATCAATTTTCTCTCAAAAACATTCTTTCTTTTAAAAAGTTATCCCACCACTCATGTGAATATATGTTTATAAAAGTTTATTGTTTATTTTAAATTAATGATTAAATTTTAAAATTTTAAATTTTAAAACTCAAGTAAATTAATCTTTTATATATATTTTAAAATTTTAAGTTAAATTATATTTAAATTATTAGTTAATTAATACATATAAATAAATTCAATTTATAAATATTTAAATTAATTTTATAATATCTAATAAAATCATGTTCAATAAATATTTAATGAAATTAATTTAATGATTATAATTAAAATTTAATATAAGGATTATAATTAATATAGAAGGAAAATTTATTAATTTAATTATCATAACTAACAATTTATATTAACTTTTAAAGAGTAATCATATTAATTATCATAGTTTATTTAATAGTCAAAAAATTATCATAAGTAACAATTTGTTTTAACTTTTAAAAATTAATCATATTAATTATCACAGTTTATTATAAATTCAAAATTTCACAACTTCATTAATTGTAACTTATAAGTCAATGAAATATTAGTTCAATTTAATAATAGGTCGAATCATTTACAAGTTGAATCAATTACAGATCAGGCTTATTACAGGTCATGTTGATAACAGGTCGAGTAATATCAGTTATTTACCGGTTTAATCTCGGGTTCATGTTTATATTAGGTCGGGTGCAGGTCGTGTTCGGTTATCACATTATCAAGTTCAATTTGGGTTCAGGTCGTTCTCAGTCTGAGTGCAGGTCGTAAATTTCCAAGTCCAACTCGGGTTTAGGTCAACACCAGTTCGGACTTGAATAGGTTTCGAACCACCATCACCTCGGGTCATAAATAGTTTTGACTGAAGTTGGTTTCAGTCAGATTTAGATGTCGGATCAGTTTTTTACATCTCTACCTGTTGACAAATAAGGAACGGGTTCGGCGCTCTCTTGCATCGGATGTGGCTTGCCCGTTACGTGGAGCAACAGTGGAATCGTTGTCACATGTTTTTAGAGACTGTGTCATTGCTAGAACTGCTTAGGAGAGCATTATTAAACCAAGTAGACTTGAGGAATTCCTACACATGGAATGGTTGTCGTGGATCCGTATGAATATTAGTCAACCTGACTATTTCCCGGTATGTGCGGATAGCTGGGATTTGTTGTTTTGGGGTAATCGTGTGGAATATTTGGTTGAGGATAAATAATTTTTTTTATATAAATGCTTTGTGGTAGGTGAAAACATTTTATCCCTTAGCCGACGGATGGTTGTCGAAACAGTGTATGATTGTGCTTCTATGGTTGCTTCGCAGAGCCAAGCCTCAACGTCTCATGGTCAGGTCGAAGTGTGGGAACCGCCTCCATCGGGTTGGGTTAAGTTGAATTCGGATGGGGCTCGGCACAAAGGAACAGGTCGTACGGCTTGTGGGGGAGTCATCAGGAATAGCAATCGACAGTGGGTGATGGGATATTCGAGAGCAATTGGAATTTGTTCATTCTTTGATGCAGAATTGTGGGGATTTGGAAGGTATCAAACAAGCGTGGGATATGCAGGTTGCATCGGTTATAGTTGAAACGTATAGCAGTGATGTGTATGAGGCGTTGACTGGGGACGCGTACAAAGGGAGTGGCTCGTCGGTAATACCTCATATCCGGACTCGGTTATTGTTGATGGTTTGGCAAAGCTTGTTTCGAATGTTTGGACTGGGACGTTGTATTTCCAGCAGCCTCCAGTAAGCGTTGCCGAGTTCTACCAACAGGAAAGCAGTGATAATAGAAGTGCTGCTAGCATTGGGACTGCTCATTAGTTTGATATAATATTAAAATTATTAGTTGAATTTTATGTTTGTTCAATTTTAAAAAAATAGTGTAACATATTTTATAAAGAACTAAATTAAAAGAAAATTAAGAATTTGTGACTGATAGGACTCAAGTTTAAAGATTTACTTTATTTAAAATTTTATGGCAATGCACTTATAAATATGTAACTAAAATTTGTAGATTTGAAAAATGGTTGTCCAAGTATCGAGACACATTTATAGTTGAGTGTGTATCTTGTTTAGGATTTCACAATTAATATAATGATTTCTCTTTTATGTATATGTGACTTTTTATAAAAGAATTTTTATATAACATGTGTATTTTTAACATATTCTTCATCAGTATTTGTAATCAATATTGTAGACACCCGTTTTTATCCCGATTTTTTTTATTTATTTAAAATATTAATACTATTATTAGTTGTTGTTGTTATTATTATTATTATTATTATTTACATTATTTTGCAAGCCAATTGAGGCCAACCACAAACACAACACAAACCTAGCCCACCAATGGCCCAGATTACATCAATCCAAAAGTCCACTCGGATGACCTAGATACCTACCCAAGACCCAGCTGGGACCCGACCCATCATTAAACCTATGGTCAACCCAAATCGACCCAATCTAAAACCCTAAAACAAACTAGGGTTTCAATGTCAGCTCGGCCACCACCGTCTTTAATTCTTCAATTTCCCAGTCGCTCAAGCCGATTGCTTCCCTCGCTGCCGCCACCATCGGAGCCGATGAGAGCCCATCCATCGAACAATGACTATATACAGTGACAAAGAGACAAGTAGTCAGCCGAAAATCAAATCCAAGTCAGAGAAAACCCAATAAAAATTAAAAGCAAGTACAACAAATATCCCGAGGAGAATCAGGGCAGTCAATAACCATTAAATCACATGTAATCAGATAATGTTTACAAAGAGTATTCGAGTTTGAAAAAAAAACGGAGGGATTAGAGAGAGAAAATCGAAAAAATAGAGAAAACCTAAAGAAAAACATAAAAGAAAAAGGAGAGGGGACAAAACTTACCTCGGTTGAACGTCGTTGACAGCTAAGGTTGTCGAAGCCAAAGAAACCGAAAGGTTTCTTCTTAGATATGTGACGATTGGTCCATTTTCAGGCCAAAAAGGGCCCTGATCTGTGCTCAGGGCCACAGGGCGCTTCGAATGATGCCATTTTCTCTCCCTTTTGACGCCGGCGTACGGCGGCAGTCGCCGGTCAGTGATAGCCAACATGGCTGAACACCACCGTGTTATGGGATTCGTTTGAAGCTCCCAGAGCTTTCTCTCCATTATCTCTCTTTCAAAAAGGGGCTAGGGAAACAAATTAGAGATGATTTGGTATTGGGCTTGTTTTGGATATATATATGTGTTGAAACGGCGCCGTTTCATGGAGGACCTGGTGAGCATTTTCGCACGTGGATTATTCACTGTAAAAGTCCTATATATCTTGTAATCCTCTATTTTAGTCATCAATACAATTTTAGTTTATTTTTAATTCGTGCTCTCATATTATATATGTTGCAATTTAGTCATGTTATTGTATAGTTTGTTAGGTATGTACCAAAATTTGAGTGTTATGAGGTGCTATCTCTTCCTCACACGTAACAGATTCTCGAACTCTTAAAAAAAAATATTTAGTAAAACGTATACTATTTTTTGATGTTTAGGATTTTCAACCTACTAACTTAATGATGCGTGACGACTCCAAAATCAAATAGTTTTCAAAATTAAATTCCATCTTTCCCCGAAAATTAAATTTTGCGGAAACATTATGACAAATATCAAATACTTTGGGTGCGGTCAAATAGTTAGGGTTGTTGGGAGCTCAATGGAAGCTGATATTTTAGACTCTTCAAATTTGATTCGTGGATTTTTCATCAAAATCATGTTCAAGATTCTCAGTTCATTTTCAGCGTTCTGTTTCAGATTTCTGTGTCTCATCCAAAAGGAAATCAGGCAGGGTCAACTGTTTTAAAATTTCTCATCATACACAGACACCACTGTAATAAAATCTTTACCGTCGAAGTTCAAAACCTGAACAATAAAATTTTATTTGCATAAAAAAAGAGAGAGAAAGCCTCAGACCGTCCTAGTTCATGAATTTCAACAGATTTATGCAGAATAAAACTGCATTTCAGAAATGTCTCTATAGATTCATCATCGGCTTCTGTTATATAGTTTGCAAATAAAAGTTTGAAATCAAAATAAACAGCTAGATATAGAGGCATCAGATCTTCCTATTCAAATTAACGAAATCAACACACTCGGTTTTTGAAATATTTTTGAGCATTCATTGATTCGAATATTCATCATTTTGCCTCGATTTTGATCTAGAAAAGCAGTGTACCAAATAAAAACACGCGGAAAAGGAAATGGAAATCTTCCTCGGGAAAAATCTGAAGCTTAAATAAGAAGCTTGAAGAGGGAAAACAAGAGATTGACCGGAGCGTTGAAGAAAGAAAGATGACGGCCGAGCCTAGGCTATAGTTTGCGGATTAGGGTTTTGCAATAATGCTCGCGGATCCCGACCTCCTTTTATAACCGATTTTTGGTTCGTTTTGGCGGAGTAGTTTGTCATAAAAATACCAGACACAGGCCGTAAACTAGGGAAATATTGTCAGCCTTAGGCCCAAACGTTTGATATACATGCCTTTATATTATTATAATTTTTTAATTACATTAGTGTTATAAGATATCGAGTATAGTGTCAGATAAAAATATGTTTTATAAACAAATTTAAAAAATTAATAAAATAATTAAAAAGAAAAATTCAGAATTAAAATAATAAATTTATTTATAAATCTTTTACTAAACTACTTATATCTTGAATAAATTTTTATAAATATATTTTTAATATGAATATATATATATATATATATATAAATTAAATTTTTCTACAATCTGAAAAATTAATTAAAACAAAAAGTAATCCTTCGTGGCGCCAACAATTGGTTGTGACTTGTGATCACGGACGCCCTTATAAGTTGTATAATAAGATTCTGTTATAATTATTCTCAAAAAATAAAATAAGATTCTGTTATAATACGAAATATAAGCAGATAATAAAATATATAATTTTATAATCTACTTGAAAGATGCCGGAGTTAAAGGAGGAAAGATGGAGAAAACGCGTGGATTTTGCCTCATTTTCACTCACGGACCACAAAATCCAGGTTTATCTTCTAATGTCTAAACATATAGCCTTTTTTTTCTTGAGTTTTAAGATTAAGAAAAGCTGCCGGCAAGATGGACGACGGGTACAGTCACTAGAGGTGGCAAACGGATCATTCATATCGGGTTTGGGTTGAGTTATTTCGAATGTAGATATATTCGATTTAATTATGTTTAAGTTGGATCAAATTTGGTTCGAATCTCGTTCGAGTGTATGGTAAATCGGGTCGGTACTTGTCAATTTTCGGGTCGGGTGATTATCGAATCGGTGTTTTTTTATTCGAATTAAATCAGATCGATTGGTTTTTGGGTCGGTAAATATCAGATCGATTGATTTTTGTTTGGCTCAATGTTTAGATCAAGTCAATTCTTGTTGGATTGGTACGAGTCTAATTAAGTATATATATAATTATTGATATATTCTTGTAAAAATATGTCTTCTTTTTGTTAACCTTATTATTTATGGCCTAATTTCATTTCTCGATCATTCAATATTTTGGATTAAACCATCATTTATAGATGATAAATTGATAATTTGACACAAATACGATCCTATAATGCATGTTAGAGTTTGTTATCAAAATTTATGTTGATCTTATATGAAAAGTTTATCAATTTGATAAAGAAATAATTTTTTATTAAAGATTTTATTTCCGATTATAAATTTAATGTTTTTATTAAAATTAAAAAATAATACATAACTTTATTTGTTAATTTTTAGTCGTAACATAAATAAATTTTATATTATTTTTACTATAAATTTAATATCATTTCCTTTGTTTTAGTTGTTTTCTATTATTTTATTATAAATATAATATTTTTATTACAAGTAAGATAAGTAAATTTTATTTGTAATCTTACAATAAGATTCTTATTTTATATTCCTCTTATGTAACCTAAGTAATTTCTATTATTTTATTATAAATATAATTTTTATTACAAGTAAGATAAGTAAACTTTATTTGTTACTATTTTCAATTTTATCATAAGATTCTTCCTTTTGGTTCGGGTTAATTTCCGTTCAGATTGCTTTCAGGTTGGGTTAAATTCGGTTCGTATTGCTTTCGGATCGGGTTAAAATCCGATTTGTATTTCTTTCGATTCGGGTTACTTTCGGTTTCGATAAATTTTGGATCGGGTATGGGTCGGGTATCGAATAAAAATTGATTATCATGTTCGGGTTAATATCGGGTATTGGGTCGGGTAAATCGGTCGGGTCAAGTTTGTCAGGTCTAGTAGCCACATCTAGGGCTGCAAATGAGACGAGACAAATCGCGAGTTACTCGAGATCAACTCGGTCAAAGCTCGATAAATACTCGAGCTCGAGTTCTTAATGAGCAGAACGAACTATTTGATACACAAATCGAAAAGCTCGTGAGTAGCTTGAAAATATAATATATTAATATTTAATTTAAAAAATAAATTATTAATATTAACATATATGTGTTGATTTTTTTAAATGCAGTATAAGGTTTTCATGTAGTTATATTTAGATTCGAGTTTGAGTTGAGGCTTTAATGAGTTAAGTTAATATTTTTTTTCTTTTCGAGCTTTTACGAGCTTCAGTCCATGATTTCGAGTTCGAGTCGAGCTTGAAAATTTTAGGCTCGCGAGTTTCCAGTTGAGTTGAGCTTCATTTCTGAGTTTTCGAGTTGAGTCGAGCTCAACAATACTCGAGCCCTGCTCTGCTCGTTTACAGCCCTAGTCACACCCCTGGAAATTTAAAATTCTCTTATATTTTTATATTTTCTTTGTATTTTATATGAATTATTTAATTTTACATCGGCTAAGATTTTATAATTTTACACTCCTAAAATTTTAATATAAATTTTTATGTTTGCACTTGTGCCGGCAATTTTCCTTCCACTTCACAAGTCTTTTGTTCATACTTTTTTAACAGTGTAATCAGTAATGCAATGTAATCGCAGCCACATTTGGTTAAAACAATGCGTAATCATTTTGATCCACTTTGCATATTTCGGTTTCGTCTCTCACTTTGGTTCATTGTATTTGTAATGTTTCTTTCCTATTTCCATACTTGGATTCTGGGTTTGCTTTGGGGTCTTTTTGTGTGTAGCAGTTGAAAGAATTATGAAATGCGACCGAGGGAATCAGTGACAGTAGAACTAATATGAAAAAGCTTCAATCACCACCGTCAAATTTATTGTTTAAGCCTCGAAACAACTCAGATATACCCATCTGATCAGTGCATCTCAAATGGCTTCTCCTTCTTCTTCATATATGCTTTGTAGTTCTGAGAACAGTAGTAACAAAAGATATGCGATACCTCTCCATCACACCGCAACAACCCTACTGCTTCATCGTCTTGTCCAACATAGATCATTGGTTATAGTCCCAGTTCTCAACAAGGCTCACCGTTTCATTCTAGGTCTTTATCTCAACCGACCTCTTTACCCTTATTACCTCTCCCCTTATCTTGTCCTTGAATTTCTTCCCTCTTTGATCCTGTTTATAACGGTGTTTCCATGGAGAAAAAGGGTCGTCAAGTCTAATATTAGGCCTTCACTTCCTACACCGGTTGATAGAGGAAGTAAAGAGTTTTGTGTCGGCGTCTGTTCAAGTTTGCCGCCCCGTAGAGGCCATAGGCGGTCCAGCAGTGATTTTCCATTAGGATTCTCTGCTATGATTCAGTCTTCGCTTCAATCTAATTCAATAGTGAACCCTGCTGTACATGAACCAGTTCAGTTGGTGAAACGAGAATTGGCGGACGACTTGTTTAATGCTTACATGAATTCTGAAAATCTTGAGACATTGAACTCTTCAGGCACTGAGGACAGGATTTGGATAGCAGAGGTAGTGGCACAAAGACCTATGGAGGTGAAAGTAGTGACAATGAAGTGTGGTGTCAATGGACATCCTATCAATAGCGTCAAGAGGAGCGTTGCTGGAGATATTGCCCCGATCCCGACCGTTGGGCAATTTCAAAGTGTTTCAATGGATAGTTTCAAGGGAAGTCTGCAATTTGATGATGATTCGACAAAGCGAAATCGAGGGGTTCATTGCTCTACAAATTCAATGAAGCTGAGGTAAAAAAAGATTATGGAAAATGAAAAGCTTGCTGAGATTGCATATGTGGATCCAAAACGTGTCAAAAGGTTGCTTCTCTTTTCTTTTTCTTCTAGTATTGCGATATTATAATTGGACATGGTTACTGATTCTGACTTATTCATGACAGAATTTTGGCTAATCGGCAATCTGCAGCTCGTTCCAAGGAGCGGAGGATGCGGTACATCGCAGAATTAGAGCATAAGGTGCAAACTCTGAAAATGGAGGCAACCACCTTATCTGCACAGCTAACTACGTACAGGTCCGTATCAAGTTCTAAATATTATACCAATTATTACACAATTTCTCCTGTAATTGGGCTCATTACACACTTGCTCCTCAGCATCTCATCATTGTTTGATCTTCCTTGTTTAGAGGGATTCTTTCGGGGCTTACAAGTCAGAAAAATGAGTTGAAATTTCGTCTTCAGGCTATTGAGCAACAGGCTCGACTTAAAGACGGTATACATAACGATGTTCTTATGTCATCTGGCTCTGAAAAAAGTTTCTGAATTAGTGCCTGCCTTGATAATTATTCATAACCTATAAGTGATTTTGACTGATAATCCTGTAAGAGTTTAGTATATATCTGAAGTTGAGTACTCTGTGCAGTTGCATTGAAGCATACAGACAGTCTGTAAGCTTTTCCAATTGGATTGTCATGTTTTGCATTTGGATTACATGTTGATGACTCAAACTGCGTGGCTCAGCAGCTTTCCGTTAACCATTCGAGGTTTTCAGCACACCCTCAGCGGCTAAATGCTGACCAGGCGCAGCAACAGTGGCGGACGTAAGTAGGGTGGGCACGTGCTCACCCTCAGCTTTCCGTTCACCACTGTGCAACAACAAATTGGTGAGCCTACTTGAAATGAGTCAAAGTTTTAAGCAGCCAAATTATCATTATCAGAATTGGGTTTTGAAATCACAGTAATCTTTTAGAGGCGTCTACATCAATCGCTAAACATATATAGATAGATAAACAGAGAGTGAAGTTGACACCATTGTTTTGTTCATAGGATGCAATGTGATTTGCAAAGGTTCACCTAAACTGTTCCTCTTTTGATTCATTAAGT